ATATATATATATATATATATAAATATATATATATACTTTGAGAGAGCTGACGCACAGCAGCGCAAACGTGTGTTCAGGCCTTAAGGCATGACCATATGATATGTACTATCAGCGTCAAATGAAACCTGAACAGCGGCAAGCCTTTTCGATGGTGTAGTGCGCGCCGTCAATTTATCACATAGAAAGGGCAGCGCGAAAACTCAGAAAAAGGACAGTAGAGACAGAGCGCTGTCAAACTGGCAGGTGTTTTAGTGAAAGGGCGAAGGAGCATGACTATAATGTACGCAATACGACCAGTGATTTTTCTGGCTGACCATTGCAGGCATTGTGGCTGCTCTCCCGACTTTCGTAGTACTCGGTTTTTTAAGATGGGGAGGGATAAGATAGAGCGCGAGATTGTCGAGGCTTTCTTCATTCATGAAGCAGGTGACAAGTGCGTGAGCAGGTCTTCCATATTCTTGTCTGACGCTGAAATTAGTTACCTTAGAGTCTTTCTTTGATTTTCCGTGTCATTTGCTTTATCTTGACCTGATGCATTTCACTCGTCACGCTTGCGCGAGCTCCTTTAAAGATTTTATCATTTGCAGTTTTTATCGCTGGATAAAGCCAGCCTTCTTTTCTTGCTTCTAAATCTCCTCTCAATCACAGTTTAGGCACATATATATGCACAGGTGATGGCAATAAAATTTCATTTGTTAGTCAGCGCTCTGTCTTTACTGTCCCTCTTTTTTCTGAGGTTTTGCGCTGCCCTTTCTATGTGAGCACTGTGAACCAACTAGCCCAAACCATAGTACTTCTCGAGCAAGTTATCAACATTGACAGGCGCGCGCATCCTGTCCAGCAGCTTTGCGCATAAATGCGTGCCTGTTCGTAGTGATAAGTGGACGGCGCGCAGTACACCATCGCGAAGGCTTTCCGCTGTTCGGATTTCATTTGACGCTGATAGTACGCGCCACAACGCGTTGCTAATAGACTCGGTGCCTCTCGCACTCCCTCTGGAGAGAGAGGCCGCGCAACAATGTGTAGCCGACCATAACCCTCTCTTCATGATGAAAAGGTGCGGCCCCGAGCCTACATGCAACGCGCTGACGCGCTGCAACGCGTGCATGTAGCCAGGTTTCTACGATCTTGTAATCCGTTGAAGAATATCAGCAGTCTTTAAAAATACTTCTAGAAGCACTCTCGGTACAATTAGAAAACTCGATTGTACTGCGCAAGATTTGTTCAACGATAAAGCGTTAGTGTTGGCAAACGTGACCATAAATGTACTGACGAAGAGTTCTCTAGACTACGAGACATACTGACAACAACTACGGGCCCGTGGGTTATAACTGGAGACTTCAACGCACATCACTTAATTTGGGGTAGTTCGACGATCAATGCTAAAGGAAGAAACCTCGTGTCATTCGCTTCCAAGCATGACCTATGTTTCTTAACTGATGGCAGTCCTACATACCTGCGGGGCCTTACGTACAGCAGTTGCCTCGATTTGACTCTGGTATCCAGAAACTTCCGGTCGCAAGTGCACTGGTTTTCAGACATCTAAACGCATGGGAGCGACCACATTCCAACTTATATGCGAATAAGGGGTCTTACTAACTCCTTTCCTATAAGACCACAATACGAAGAATTGATTGGTCCAAATTTCAGCGACTCATGGAAAATACATGCCGTGAAGACCCTGACCAGAACTTGGAGGATGTCATCAAAGAGTCAATGAGGGAAGCTTCCTGTCTCCTCCCGTTCACTGGCAAGCGTTCAGATTTCAAGGTTGAACTGGAAAAACTGTGCACGCTTCGCCGAAGGGCGGAAAGAAGATACAGGCGGACGAAAGCAGTACGCGACTTGAGGCTGGCACGACGCATACAGAAAAAAGTCCAACGTCGTTTAGACAAACTTGAACAGGAACGCTGGAAATCATTCTGCGAATCATTGGATCCCCGAAAGCCGTTGTCACGCATCTGGAGCACTATTCGTGGCCTGCGCTCGACTCCCCAACAAAGGCATCCTTTCATGGCTTTAGCCCTACATTCAGGCCACAACCAACTTGAAGTGGCAAATGAGTTTTGTACGCGAATCGCGGGTGTGTCCACCTTGTCCGCTGGCACCATTAGGAGTGTTATCCCTGAACCCCGCATCTACGAAATGGAAAATCTTTTCACTATAGAAGAACTTGACGCATCCTTGGCGGCTTCCCGACGGTCATCTTCACCAGGACCCGATGGCATCACCTACGCCGCTCTAGCCAACCTTCAACAGGAGGCAAGGGGACAGTTGTTAAGCTATTACAACCACTCATGGCTGGCGGGCAATGTTCCCCAGGATTGGAAGATAAGTCGACTAGTGCCACTACTCAAAGCAGGAAAGTCACCATTTGATTTGACGTCATTTCGCCCTGTTGCCCTCGCAAGTTGCGTAGGGAAAGTCATGGAAAGGATGATACTTACACGCCTAGAATGGTACCTCGAGCGCTACAACGTATACCCAAACTGCATGACGGGTTTTCGGTGAGGTAGGTCATCTCTTGACAACGTGATTGATCTCACAACATTTATCGAGCAACAGAAGAGCCTCAAGCACATACCACTGGCACTCTTCATCGACGTCAAAGGGGCTTATGATAACGTAACACATAAAGCCATCCTAGACTCGTTGGAAGCTGTTGGAATCGGTGGTCGGATGTTCCAATGGATCCAGGATTATTTGACAAGAAAGTCCTTTTTTGTGCAAACCTCAGATGGACCTACCACCAATTACTATACCTCCCGTGGCGTCCCTCAGGTTGCCGTATTTAGTCCCATTTTATTTAACCTCGTGATGGTAGGACTTCGTGAAATTTTGCCAAGTACCATCCTCATATCCATATATGCTGACGATATTTGTCTATGGACTTCGGCTGTAACTCGTCTACAAGTACGTGCAAGATTGCAGCAGGCTGCCGCCCTGACATTCTCATATCTCCGCAAGCAAGGTCTTTCCGTTTCAACGGAGAAATGTGCATTGGTTGAGTTTACTCGCAGAGCCATGACACAATACCCCGTTACCATCAATGGACAAAATATTCCATACCAGAAGAACCATCGCTTCCTGGGTGTGATTATTGACAGGGACCTTTCGTGGAGTGCCCACTGCAATTACCTGAAAAAAAGGCTAACTTCCATCGTCCATATAATGCGGTTGCTCTGCGGAGAATCTTGGGGTGCATCGATAAGGTCAATGATTCAGCTATACAGGGCACTGTTTCTGTAATTTTTGCGCTACAGCTTGCCGTTACTGGCAAGTACGTGCAAGACGAACATCCGCACTCTCGAAAGTCTGCAAGGACAAGCACTACGCGTGTGCTTAGGATTGCCGCGATGCACCTCAACCAACGGGCAATTATGATCGCAAGAGAGCATCCGATTCGAACATACATCACCACTGACAATTTGAGAGCCCACATAAGACACCTCTGCCGAGTTCCTGGTCACCATGTTGCAGTGTTGTCACTTCAAAGACCACACGCGATGTTTTCAAAGATTATTTCTGCCCATAGAGAATGCCTTCCTTTTGGCTTCACTCCAACATCAAGACCAGCGTCACCCCCGTGGTGCCTACAACAACCACAGGTGTACTCACTATTCCGGGAATAACGAACAAGAGCCATCATTCAACAGTAGTCCTACGACAGGTGACATTGTCGCTACTCAACGAAAAATACGGCCAGAGGACCCACATTTACACCGATGGATCGGTCTCGGCTGACAGCTCCACAGGTGCTGTTGTCATCCCGGCGTACCAAGTCACTATAAAGCTCAAACTGTCGCATAGGACAACATCCACAGCAGCGGAGCTTGCCGCGTTACGTGCTGCTATACTTTATATCGCGGAAGCCCGACCTCAAAAATGGGCTGTGTTCTGCGACTCCAAGGCATCCCTTCAGAGCTTGCAATCAGCTTTACGACAGAGGGAGCATCAACAACTAGTGAATGAAATAAGAGAAGTGATTCACGAAGTTTTATCGAAAGGACATGACTTGGTGTTCCAGTGGTTACCGGGACATTGTGATATTGTCGGTAATAACCTTGCTGATAATGCTGCCCGATCCGCCCATGCGGACGCCCAGACAACCCCAATTCCATTGTCGAGAGCCGACGCTGCAAGGGGCCTTCACTCGTTCGCTAACACCATGTCGGAAACTTGGCTGAGTGACCCCAGTGTCAGGAACTGCCGCCTACACAAATTGGACCCATCGAGAAAGCTTAAAGTTCTATCGGACCTCTCCCGCCAGGATGCAACTTTACTGTGCCGCCTGTGGTTAGGAGTAGCTTTTACAAAGGCGTACTCCTTTCGCATAGGAATGGCGGATAGCTCGCGACACTGACGAGACAATAGAACATCTACTGTGTTCATGTGAACGTTTTGCGAGCGAACGCAACTTGCTACGCGAAACGTTAGAGACACTAGACAGTAGACCTTTTTCCGAAGAGAAGATACTTGGCTCATGGCTCTACGCGTCGCTGGCCAGCAAAGCGACGCGGGCATTGCTAAGTTTTCTAAAGACGACCGGACTACGCGACCGCTTATAAGCGTGCAATGGACAAGCTCACATCTACACACACGTTGCCCTTCACTTCTCTCTCTCTTCTCCTTTAGTCCCCTCACCCCTTCCCCCCAGTGCAGGGTAGCAAAACCGGACGTGCGTCTGGTTGACCTCCCTGCCTTTCATTTCTTCCCTTCCTCCTCCTCCTCCTCTCTAGAAATGAAGTGAACATGATAATACACCGTGCGCTGTGTCAACATCTCAAAAGGTCAGAGCAGTGCTGAGCTGCCGCCGCGTACGATTCGCGGTGTTCTCCGAGAAACAACGCGAAACCAAAAGCAGTAGGAGTTGTGAATAGGCACACCTAGGCATATTTCGGCCGCCTTCCACGCGCGTCTTAATGCATGCTGTTCGCCGCCGATGGCGCCATTTTTCTCAAGTGTGGGAACAATACCGTGAGGCATTCGGTAAAACTTACAGCTGCGCGGTTCTTTTGTCCCATCGCCCTTCGCCCCACTGCGTATTCCTGGTATTGGGAAAGCACGCATAGTATGGCGTATATCTGTAAAAGGCAAAAAAAAACAACACCATATCGTAGAATAATTCAGCAACAATTTCATATTCGGTAGGTAACTCGCACACGTGAGTAAAGCAGCACTAATTCGAAATCCTAGGCAACGTTGCAATCATCTGGTTTGCATTTACCAAAGGAATGTGTTTGGCTCGACGACAAAGCAATATTCATAGCTTTTTGAAAATAAGACTGCACAGCAGTGATGCAATCTCCTATGGGCTCATATTAACTTTTTAACAAGCAAACTCAGAGCGTGATATTTATCCTGTGCGTGTGACACATCCTGTATGTACATCAAGAAATGTTAAAAAGATTGTTCAACATGTTTTTACGTAGCTTATTAGATAAAATAGAACAAACTTTGACATTAAGTTGCGTGTATTTGTGCATTAACTACGATAAAGGAGAAGAGATGTGACGTCACGTGACAATTGCAACAATGACATATCCAGGCCTTAAGACTATTATGAGCCTGTTAGAAGTTACGAGTTCATTCAGAACAACGCGCCTGTTGTGTTTCACTTCCAGCATCTTTCTGAAACATTGCAGCGTAATACGCGTCCAGTAATTTCTACTGGTCTCTTCTTCAAAAACTATTTTCAAAAACGTCTTTAAAATGGCGTCCCCAGTGATGCCTTGAACCGTGCTGCTCTCGGACACCAGCGCAGTGCTTTTAGCACTCTTCAGCGACGTTTCGTAGTAAGCTTTGGTTCGAGCTCACTGAGTTGGCAAGTTTGTGATCATGTTTCCGCGTTTTTCTCTTATCGTGGTGCTGTTGTGCTGTTCTTAAGTATTTGTTATAAACATAATTATCCTCCTCCTTCTCCATATCGGTTCTAACCCTGAATTCACGTTCTACACAAAGCCTACCCTGCTTTAGAAACGTCGGGCAGACAGCAGACGCGGCATCATTATCTAATTCTACGGAGAGCCTTATGAAAAGAATTTGCACGAAAGCTACATGACCCTGAAAGAAACATTCACTCAATGAAAATAAAGCAAGGTGGAGCGAAAATCTGCTGACCTCCAGCATCATTTTCTTCATCGACTTGCATCGATCTTCAAAGTGCCGAGTTTTTATAGCGATTACAACCTAGTATCAAGCACAGCCTATGCAGTTATTTTGAATGGTTTCTGTTTGCTTACCTCTGTTATCGTTGGCGTACTTTTTATGTAGGCTAAATCATAAATGTCAGGTTAGCTTTAGCGTTCGAATCAGCGTTTTTGTGTTTCCTCCTGCGCCTCAAGTTAATTAACTTTGGCGATCAGGCGTGCTGTTTTATGAATACAGATGGGCTAAGCTCTAATTAGGTTTGATCACGTCACTGAGCCAAATTTTAATTAACTGCCACATCTCATACCCATTTCGCTGCTGAAAATATTATTCCCAGCGATGGCACAGTATATTTCGCTCTATCGAGATATCCCTACATGGCTCAATATTGAATAGACGTACATCAACTTTACCCGTGCTTCGCAATTTTTAAATTGGTTTCGTGGCCAGGAAATTATCGCCGAAAGGTTTTAGGGTGTTCTTATTTTGACTTCTCTTATAAATGTATCGGTCGCTGTAGTAATTAGCTGTTCGCCGTTATTGCGCTCAAAACGTTCTACGCCAGCAATTTAGGTGGTTATGTCGGCATAAGCCCAAAACGAAAACATAAATTCGCACCCTAACCACCTTTTCACCAGTCACGTTTTTAATAAAAATTTACATTTTACGCAAATGTGAGTACTAGTGGTGATAGCGGAGGAACAAAATGCTTTTAAAACTACGAACAGTGTGAAAATATATCGATAATAAAATGGCGGTGCCTGGAACAAAAGCGAAGAGAAGTAATAGAACTTTTAGGCATATTTTGAACAAGACAACAGTGAAGATGCAAAACCTTCCAGTCAGCACAAGACGTATGAGAGAGTTCTGTCGAAAACGACGTTGTTATAGAACTCAACCCGTTTCCATGCATTTATGAAAACGCAACTTTCATTTCGCTACGCTTCACGGCGATCAAAATGAACCAACAAACATAAATCAATAAAAAGAGCGTATATTCGACATATTACAATAGCTGATTCCCACGATAACGCTATCCTGGGTTTCACTACTGAAAACGGTGAATTTCTTCAAAAACTCGTGAACTTGAAGTATGGCGTGGACACTTCGTGCATATCGGTACCAATCTAGTGAATAAAGGATACGGATAAACACAGTTCTGAGCTATTTTCCAGAATTCGAAAATCTTTTTATTTTATTTTTTATTTCTTGAATAGCATTTGAGTTATTCTCAGAAATCAAATGCTCAAAGCTTTATGGAGTATAAGTGAATTAAAATGAAGGATCCTGTATAGCACGTCGTAAGAATCTCACTTATAGAGCGCTGGGATTATATATCATTTCTCCACTCCTAACGTCTTCGCTTACCGTTTTTTCCCGAACTAAAGCTCATAAAAAATTTGTAAACCAAGTAAGTAAAAACACAACAAGTAGAAGAAAGCTGCACACAATTTTGTACGGATAGACCATAAAGGATTCCGACGCCGGAACTTTTTGTCATCGGGAAAAGACGGTTCTTCTTCAAAAAGAGGTTAGAAAAAAGTTCACAGAAACACTACGAAGACACTATGAATATCTATAAGTCAAATCTAAAAACAACCTCGGGGACTATCGGCGTGGTGTTCTGATGCAACGAACCCTCTGTATGAGGTATGTTTTCACACAGGAAAAATCTAACTTTCTTTCAAATACATTACGGGCAACTTGAGATAATCGTTGGGATTTTACAGCAGATCGCGTAACTGATAAATAAAGAAATAGCGCTTGAAGATATTAGCATAGGCAGATGCAGCAATTTCTTTCAAATGCAGACGGCGGAGGGGACGTTCTTGAATGGAGTAAGGGAAGTGGGGAGGGGTGGGTGGCAGTACGCTAATGTGGTCGAGTGTTTTGCCGTGGCAGAACGAAAATGGGCAAGGGACAGGAGGTGGGATGACACGTGTCCAATGGGCTATCCCTGGCTACACCATTGTGGGTGATTGCATATGACCGTTTCTCAAGGTGCAACATGGCGAGGACACAACTAAGAGAGAGAGATAAAGAGAGATAAACAAAAGAGATGGAGGTTAACCAAGAACGTGCTAGGTTGACTACCTTATACTTGGAAAGAAGCAGAGTGGCAATATTAAATGGAGAAGACAGGGGCAGGAGAAATAACGTATGAGCAGTCTGTGTGAACACAAGAAACACGACATGGGTGTTCGGGACTCTTCCCTGAAATATGTCCTAAGGGTGGCCGGTGCCAGGGAGTGAAGCTTTGGACACAGCGCCCCACTCGCTGTCTCAGTAGCTTTTCCCCTTGCACGTACACTTCTTTCCCCTTGCTACTCAGCATTCCAACACTTTTTTTCTTTACATCTGATTCTTTTGTTCCGTCTTTCTTTCTTTTTTTTTGTCTTTATAAGAGCTGCATTAGCGCTCGGATGATATGTTTGATCTGTGAGCTCAGAAACCTTTTTTTTTTTTTGCGCACAATACGGAAAGCAATTTCCCACTGGCCTTCTCATGATTAAAAGAGTAAAAACAAATCAGTCCTTACATTGATGGAACACAGCGTGTAGTCGACGACGTACATGGCAATCACGAACGGATTAACACGCTGAAACAAATAAGAAACGGGTGATTAGCGAAAACTTGAACGAAGCCACCAGCCCTATAACTGTGTACCTCGGAGGCGTTATGCAGGCGTCAGGGTAAACTTTAATCACTTTTCTTTATCAGATGAGCTCGTTCTTTGTAATTAGGGCTATGACGACGCTCAGAGATTTAAAAACTAAAAAAAATTGGGAAAAAGGTTCATTAACTGTACTCTCCTTGCTGTTAACAACCACTGGATAATTGTATGTAAATCAGAATACACAATGAAAAAAAAACATTGACATGAAAAGAAAAGGTTATGAAAATGGACAATGCCTTGTCTTAGTAGCAAATATTCTCAATATACACAGTATTGTAAGACACCAGATTGGTTTCTGATGCATACATTCCGAAAAAATTGCAGTCCTTTAAGATACCCATAAAAAACTCACATGGTCCGGTATGCGTTCGCCCAAGACCATTAGAAGGCGAAAGCCATCATGATTGTGTAGTTATAATCATCTTGAAAGCTTGAGAGCTCAAGTAGTCGCCCACTTAATTGATATTTTAAGCAATGATGATGATGATTTATAGCTGCACTCTAAAAAATATTGAGTAAAAGGGGTGTCTTTTTGTCCCACAACAATAATCTTCATCAGGCTTGCGTGTGCTTCTTTTCTTGAAAACTTGGCGCTGGCCACTTTCCTATCGAGAATGCATTGCAACACTGATAATGGGCACGTCGATCGTGACCAAAATGTACCGGGCGCGGGGCGATAGCGCAAGGATGAAACGCAATAAAAGTGACGATTATTGTCATGGGACAAAAAGACACCCCTTTTACTCGCTCTTTTTTTAGAGTGTAGGCGTTTCGCCAAGGCCTGGCTAACCTCACTGTACTTCCTCTTTCAATCCTCCTCCTCCTCCAGGCAGTTTTCAACCACCCACTAGTTATGCAATTCACATGGTTTGACACTTCCTGCGATTCCGCGCTTCTGCTGCGCATCATTACGTCCTTTAACATGAACACCTTCACGGGGTAGGAACAGCAATGGTTCTTTTTCCGAAGCGATTTCTAACACTGGCGTGTTACTTCTAACTTCTACCAACTTACCCCAAAGGGAGGGTTTTATTCAGCTTAAAATTCAGTGCATGGGCATTTCGTATTATCTTAAAATACGGCTACTGTGGCCGAAAATTGAATCCGCTGTCTCTTTTTGGGAAATAGGACACTGTACCCAATCAGTTTTTTCAGCCATTCATGCTTAAAAACTAACAGTTGTTTCGTGTACAAATAAAACTGAAGAGCGAACCTTATAGAAATGGGACGCAAACGACTACATGAAGGCAGGAGGGTGGGGAGCGGATGGGCAGAGCGTTTGTTGCGTTCGGTAGTGGAAACAAGTGAGTGAGTGACTGTGCAGCACGCGTAGCGCAGCGCGAGCCAGCTCAGCCAACAGAAGAGCCACTGGGTGGTAGACAAGACAAAGCGATGATTTCGCACGTCGGCCAGTTGGAGTCGGGAGGGGGCACAAACCAAGAAAAAGTGTGCGCACTCCGGACCGGAAGCACCCACCTATTGTTTTGCTCGCTCAACTAGTCTAACGTCGACGCAGGGCTTCGACATTGATAGATCATTTCAATAGGGAGTTTTAGAATAACGTTTGCAGGCGCTGCAGGCGTTGCGGGCACAATATGAGTTTTAGAATAACGTTGGCCCCTCCTATAGGGAACAATCTAGAGACTTTAGCTGCCCCGAAAACACAAATGCACGGAAACTTCACATAGCCTCGACAACCAGCTTTTGCGGGCCGCATGCTGACCGCGCACGCCACCCGCTATTTCGGATTTTCTGCGGACGGGCCGCAAACGGGAACGGCGGCTCGCGTACGACGCATGCGAAATGGCAGCGACCACACCGCAAGGGCTCGTGGTGCGCTATTCTAAAACTCCCCAATGTCTTTTTTGCGCCGGCGCCGCATCTATGTTGCAGGGAGCTTCGACGACGACTGTGGGGTGTGAGCCTAAAGAGATGCGGTCCTTACAAAGCACAACTGTTTGCTACAACTATCACAATAGATGCTTACCAGGTCAGTGACGAAGTACAGCGACAGGGCTACGTCAAAAAGCGTTGTCATAGAGACAACGGTAAGCCATGGAATCAGCAAAAGACGGTTGTCCTGAAATGGCGCGAAGAACAGTTGATTGCGTGACATGTTCTCAAACAACCAAATAAGTATGCAACTTTTCGACTCATATGAGGAAAAAAAACTGAATTTATTCCTGATCGAGTGAGTATTTCTCGTAATTTGTGTAGCCTAATCCGATTATTTAATGTGCAACAGTAATCTTAGCCAATGAATATTCAGTCTTACCTAAGAACTTCATAGATTGTACGCAAGTTTTGCTCATAATACGACGTTGTGATGTCGTAACTCGAAGAATATTGACTGACGCGAAGTAATCCTTAAACGTTATTTGTACTCTGTTTGTAGTGGTTTAATACTATCAAGTGCGAACACGTAATCTATTTTCTAGAAGGGAGATAGCTGTAAGTTAAATTCGCTATTTCATTTGTCGTATGGACTGCGAGACATGCTTTCTTCCTTCACATGGCATCCTATACTTTTCTCGCTAAAGAAGGGCAACATAACAAGTGCTTTTGACACGAATATTAACACAGTCACAATCAATCGTAGATAATACGAGTTACGAAAAACCCAGAGCCTCAACACAATTCTATATAGAAAGATGCTTAGGCACATCAGGTGCCGTTTTATAGCAACACTTATGCTTCTACAAGGTGCTTGTAAAAAAAAAGGGGGTGGGGGAGTAGCATGCATCATTTATTTCCACTGCCACGGACGCAGTGACTGCGCTCTCTCTTAGCTCGGCTTAATGTGTAAGTGGCCTGCTCTTATATCCTTGTACGTAACATACAGCAGTTACGAGCAAAGACGACTTGTAACGAAGCACTCAGCCTCTTCGTGGACCCGACCATTGCGAAAAAGGCGAAAAGGTGGCGCTGCGCTGAATGTTAGCCCACCCTAATGTAGAATCCTGCGCACGCCTACGGATACGTCTGGATGACAGGTAGCACAAACCACTCTCTAGCATCTGCTTTCGGCTGTTAGTGTTCCCCCTCCGTATGTCGACAGGCACGCTTTAACTTCGTTAGGTAACGTTAATAGTGGTGTGTTTATTATTATTACTCAGATACCCTAAAGGTCCAGACGGCATTACATAGGTGGGGGCAATGAACGGTGCAAATAATAGATAAAATAAACGCTAAATATAATAAGAATAGAGAATCTAAAGAATAACTAAAAACAAAAACGTTTTGCAGCATCATACAAAGGCTGAAAAATTGGCTGAATTAAAAAAAATTCACACCATCTTCTCAAAGGGAACTGTGATGGAATGCTATGCAGCGAGCGGTGAAGAGGATGAAGAGAGAAAAGAGGTGACACGTATACAGGCAATTTTTAACGGGAACGATAGACGAGCGTCATGTTCGTTGCGCGTGAACTGACCAGTCTGCGGTGTAGCAAGCGGTGGTAGCGGCAGGTGTTGTGGGCGAATGGACGAGGCGGCAGCTGTGGGCTGTGCAGCGAAAGCGTGGCAAGCGAGGGAGAGAGTGAACTCAGCGGTCGCTTTGAAGGTAACGTGACGTCAACGCACAGTTGTGGCGTCATCTATTTGGCACCACTCCAACACCTGAGGCGAGGGGAACGCGTTACGGCGCGTTCATACGAACGCACGTACGTACAGCGTTCCACACGTGAGTCAAAGATCTGCTTCGCATCTAAAAACGAAGCCAGCGAAACAGTACATTGACTTACCAGAAACAATCCCAAAAGTAGAATTACAGAGAAAATGACGCAGAGGCCCGAAAAAATGAGGAGCAGCAGAACCAACGTAAAGCCGACTGAAAAGAACACGACAACTTGTGAAATGAGGTGAATGAAAAACAGCACTCACGCAAGAGAGACAATTAATGAGGCAAGTACATGTTTATCTTGAGAAGTAAATGGTCAGCTCATGAAGTGCACATATGCACAAGCATAACGTCAACTAAACAAACGTAAACGATGATCAACTCCGTCAACATCTTCAAGAACGTTTACGATGTGTCTGGACATTATTTTAATAGCGTGAACATTTGTGCTTTATAAACTTTCGCGTTGAGTGGGCACTTCTTTGTACTGAATAACTGGTACTGACCGCGTGAGTGTGCTACTGTGCGCCGTTTGAATAGTTTTGTTTTTGTGTTCTGTACATTGTGAGAGCTATACTATTGTGTGACAAAAGAGGCAAAGCCGGGGCGACGAATTGGCACCAATCTCTCCTTATATAGGTTTATTTTTTTAATAAGAGAGAGAATGCTGCAAGCTCAGCCCGTTCTAGATTTTAACATGCATGGACACGCAAATACATAAAGTCTAGCTCAGTGCTGGTTTTGTCGTTCTTAAATTTTTATGGGGTAAATAATGTTATTTTTAGTGTAAATGAGTGCTTGCATTGTTACCTCTTTTATAGATCTCTTTGTTGTTCTTGTTTTATTTTTTCTCTGTGTCCTTTGTATGTATGCTTCAATGAGAACAATCCGCCAAATAACACATTTCGTTGAAAATGCTTTAGTCAAACAGAAACGGGTAGTCGCCCTTGTGTAGGAGGAAGATTACCAGGATCGAGTATTCTCTACCCTTCTCATCATTTGACACATTGCTAACCACAACGTGAATATACTCAGAAATTGAACGCACGTAAGTTGAGCGTGAGTGTGCGCGCAGGAAGGTTTTTTACAGTCGAGGCACATATATCGCGACCTGGTAGAACAAGTATCCAGTGTTTCCCTGGTGCCCATGAATATTTCATAAACACGCTCCTCTTTTCTGACAAATATTGATTCGACAAACTTTCGAAGCCCATCGCGCCCGCTCCTCATCCTGTTTACGATGCAAATATTGAACTGCCTTGGGGGCTTGAGGCTCGTTTGGTGGCTTTAGGGTTTATTCTTTGACCGTACATGCTCTTCTATAAGTGAACAACAAGTGTGCGAACACCGTAATAAAATGCGGTCTCGCTCTAGCGGTGCCAGGTGCGTGCCTATGAACCCCTGGCCGTAAAACTAGATGTATATATATTCGGGCAAAGGCAAAATATTTTCGTAGCTCACGCCCAGTTATAAGCAAGCAAGACAGCATGCTACAAAGTGGCAAACAACGTTGAAACTTACCAGGAGTATGGAGCACGGAGTTTGCGTGGAATATTCCGGTGACCACTAGCATCGTGTAGAAAATCTGTAAGACAGTAAAGGAAGCATCCACTCAAACGTTGCGCTTCTTCGTGCCGGTGTTATGTCCCGCTAAATTGTGCGTAATCTGGCTGTAAAATAGTCATTTTTTTAATGAAAGCTTGCGAACAGCCATGGACCACATCCGTCATGTCTACTGCATTAAAACAGGGTTAAAATGAATAGTATAAAAGCATTCTTAACCTTTGTAACCATTATACAATAACGGTAAGTCACCAGTTGCTAACAATAATAATAATAAAGACAGATTAAAATAAACGCTTAACGCAGTGTGATGCTTTGTCTGTCCTGGCAATTAATTGCTTGCATATTGGTCCCTGAGTTTTCAATTCTGCAGATCGCACTCTTCATCGAGTATATTTTGCAATATCTAATCAGCTGCTTAAACAGTCGAAAAAAATGACATAAAATAAAAACTGCGCGTCTAGCGATTATAACCGAAATCACTAAGCTTCTTGTGTTCATATAAAGCAAATGCCCATCACTGCAGAACGCTCAACAAGCCGAATTTTTAACAAAAACGTGCATCTGTTAACCACTGCGCATATGTTTTCGTGCACTGTTGTGAGCATTAATTCATTTGTTTTGAGCAAGAGCATAGTGAGGACCACCAATGAATGTATAATATTTTCCTCGAACCAATAACTACTGGCATCATTAAGAAATATTTTTTCAGAGAGGAACGCAAACCTTTAAACCTTTAAAATAATGAAGGAACTGTAAGTTGGACGACGTGGATTAATGCTTTGCGTGGCCAAACTACGAAACGTAGATATAACCAATTCATTTATTAACCTAATGTTACTGGTACAACATTCATAAATGCTAATTACGTAGCAATAGAAACAAAACAGTTAACTAGCAACAAGTAGATAGTATAAGGTAGTTATCTCGGAACACGACGCCAAGTTACGTTTTGATTAATTGATTAAAATTATTGAATCATATGGACAAGGCACGTAGAAGCGACGAAAGGTTTATTCAGAGGTCGATAACAAAACACAAACAATGCGAAAACACGTAAGAAACTCTCGATTTTCTTTTCATTAAGGCAACCTCTGAAGCTCTCTTTGATGTCGTACAGCGCGTTTCCAAGATTAGATTTAATTGTCACTACACCGTGTTATTGGAGTAGAGAACGCTGCCCTCAAGCCATCCTACACCATTAAGTCTCAGATTCTGTTTGTCGCTACGCTTCCCAACAAAGGTCATTGTCAACGCACAATTTGATACAACAAGAATTTGAGTCTTCTCTCATGCCACGCCCAGAACATTCGCTCTTAGCGCAGAAATTAGAGCCGATGAACCCCGTCGCCTTGACTCCTCGTGCGTTTCGCAACATCTGTTTCGTTAATTAGCTACTGCAAACACACACCGATGCCTGCCAACCAGGACATCTTGAATGTCTCTCCTAAATTACAAACCAAACAAATCCAGCCTAGTTCTAAACTTTAAATGGAGATGTCTAAGACTTTTGTTGCAGCTCCTTATTAGAACAAGGCATGGTGAAAATAAGTGGTGGTTATTTCACACACACCACTATCTTTTTTTCACCATATCTCATCTTTATAACTGATCACGATATTTGCTCTCTCGTTGACTGCTTGCACAAAGCACAGCTAAATTAGGAAATTCGAGGAGGTGTGCAAAGATAAGACGAGAACGTCGTCAAATTTCTTCGTTAAACATGAATCATGAGAACCGACCCAACACTGAAAAAAAGAACCGAAAAGTAAGGTGGTACTAAAAATATTACATCGTATCGACGCAAGTCTTCAATCACTTAGAAGAAAAAAGAAAGCTTAACGAGTCATACGAGAAGCTGAATGGCTTATATACGAAAAGAACAAGATAAGGACCGTATTGTTCACTTCAGAAGTCGTTGACTTCGGAACATGCAGTGAATGGTCTCAAATTGGAGTGCATTTGACAGAGTTCACAAACAATCCAGCAAAATTAAGTACGCTTTGCATATTTCTCAGCAATAGTTTGTTTAATGATGAGCTATTATGTTCTCCTGGTGCGTGAAATCAAGCGTTATTCAAAAGACTATTGTATAAATATAGTCGTCTTGTAGTCCTTAAAACATGCTGTAACGTAGCGTTTCAACCTCTTACAACGTGTTGGTGCTTTAAAAATTTCCTAGTTTCCTAGAAGATGAAATTTTTTTTGTACTAAAAGCAAGTTCATCTCCTATTATGGGAACCAAAGTCAATGAACTTGAAGCACTATAGAATTACTTTTTTCAGCCGATGTTTAGCAGCAGCGACAGATCTGTTGACGAATCTCTCCGCTACGGGGGTTAATTGTTAAGGCATTTGTTATAATAGTGCTTAAAAGTTTATACGTGATTTTATACTGTTCTAATATATGTAATACATACGTAACACGGTCTCCTTTCAGGAAATGTAAAGCAGTTGTACTATACACTGAAATATTATTATTATTATTATTATTATTATTATTATTATTATTATTATTATTATTATTATTATTATTATTATTATTATTATTATTATTATTATTATTATTATTTCATATGCATACACAGAGGAAAAATGTAGAGACCAGGCTGACAATCGCCACATTTAGGGGGCACACGCTTGCCTACTCTTTCGTAACGGAGGAACAAATAAAGAAAAAGAAAATAAGAAAAGAGAAAAAAAGAAGAAAAAAATTGGTAAGTAAAAAGTGACGAAGACTTCGACTAAACTAAAGAAAAACAATAAAGAAAAAATTAACGACCATTGCCGGTTGGCCAAATTAGTTCTTTCCACGAAGGTCAGCGAAGCTCGATGGGCCTGGTCGCGTCGAGAGGCACACCGTCTCATTTGATTGATTTGTGGGGTTTAACGTCCCAAAACCACCATTTGATTATGAGAGACGCCGTAGTGGAGGGCTCCGGAAATTTTGACCACCTGGGGTTCTTTAACGTGCACCCAAATCTGAGTACACGGGCCTACAACATTTCCGCCTCCATCGGAAATGCAGCCACCGCAGCCGGGAATCGAACCCGCGACCTGCGGGTCAGCAGCCGAGTACCTTAGCCACTAGACCACCGCGGCGGGGCAGGCACACCGTCTCAGAAACAGGCAATCGTCAATTGTCGCGCACTTGAATCCGTTGAATCTATATTTTATTTATACAGCAATGCCTGATATGTAAGGAATGGGGAACGCTAATGTAAGACGCTACAGTGTTTCTCCGGAGCCACAACAGGTGCACAATGGAACGTCCACACGTTCTTGAAGGTATAAGTGCAAGAGGTACTGGGATCGATACCTAGCACCTCTACCAGTGTCACGACGTCAAAACAGAGATCTTGCCGCAGAGATTGAGACACCAGAAGCAAGTCGGCCTTTTTAATAGAACGAGCAAACGAGTTCTTCTTTTCGTTCATTTTATAGTCGTTCATGGTCCGTGCACAACTGCCTTCGTCCTTCTTGAGCAAGCAGGTGACATAAGCGATGGCACACCATCACATGGCGAACTCTAAGCTTATATAAGAGTGTTCTGGAACGACGAGGAAAGTCATGACCTCGAACACGCGGAAAGAACGATCCAGCAATAATATTCAAGCTACCGCAACTTCTGCACCCCCGCCCCCTCCGCTGTCGAAGAACGGACGTACTCGTACCATACCGTAAAACGGAAGCCAACCCGTCTGTCATGGCCTTTTCTTTCGCACACTCTGAACTCTCTCGATAAACGACGCCACGTCAACAACCCCATCCGACGCTTGTTGGCTCTGTCATCTCGGTGCCGTACTACAACACATAAGCCGCCGCTTGCCGGCAAGCGGTCGTTAGCAAATCGCATTAGTATTTGTCGCGAAGCGCGGCGGCTTGCTCCGATGACACACTCCCAAGGGCAGCAGAAGGAAATCCGGGAGGCGTTATCTATTGCTGCTGTGCTCATCGGTGTGAGGCATTTCTCTACGTAACTGGTTGTTCCCAGCCAGCTTGGTGGATCCCGTTGCCACAGCAACGCGCGAGGCCACCAGCGTCCGATCGCAACCGAAAGTGTGGCTTGTTTTTCGTTTGTTTGTTTCTTTTAGGCATATTTGGGACGGGCCACACAAACAACCTCGTGGCACGCGCCCTCGTTGATGCGAAAGCAACTCCGGTTGCTTTCTCGTCACACTGCTAAACTTCGCCTCAGCTCCGCCTGCCTAAATACATGCAGTGCAGTGAAAGCTACCCGACATAGGTCATCTTGCTGTTGCATTGGTTACGTTCGCAACGCCACTCCTCAACATTGTGTAAACATAGCAATGGTCAGTTATTATCGCTCCAAGTAAAACATATCCTAGCATGCAAAGGGCCTTGTTTGTGGAATAGAATGTTAGACTAGTTGACGAGTTACAAACCCTAAAGAGTAAAGTATCAAAGGTGACGAACACGCGAAAGGTATACGCAGACAAAGAACATTACCAGCCCGTTGTCTACTTCCCCTTTCAGTGCTCTTCGTTTAATCGCGCTGTACTTTTAACTGTTCATGTACGCGTGCTATCTGCTTTCAGCTTACACGTATCGCCTTCCATAACGCAAGGTTGCACACATCTCCTCGTGGCATTTGGATAGCCTCCGCTTTTGTCCTAACTCAACGGCCAATCTGTGGTGGTATAGATAAAACATCGTGACAGCGCTCTCGCTCCCGAAGGCCCCATAGGAGTGACGTGGGCTGTAGGAGGGACGCGGGAGTGATAAGCGTTTACACAGCCCTGCCCGCGCGTATTTGGAGCTCGCATTAAGAAACTGCTACCTCTGTCTGTTTGAATTGTGAGTCTACCGTGATGCGTGGAAACGTTACTAGTGTTCAAAAAGACTGTCAAACATTGCAGCGTGGACCCTTTATCCAACGCATTGCGGCTGCTACTTGTTATCACCTACTGGTTGTGCGTTAGAATATAAACGCTTTATGCGCGTGTGGCATACTAGAAAAGCAGGTGAAATGGCGGCCCGTGGGTCCAAATGTTCGGCGTGA